ACACCTAAATAGTGGAAATCCTAGCTAGGTGAGGTCAGTTAAGAGACTGAACCATAAATATAAATAATCAGTGTAAAAATATCATGGCAGATACTTGAGATATTATAAATATCATTGAGACATGCTGGCTCAGGCAGATAACAAAGAACTGCTGAGAAAATGTTACCGGAAGGGAAGTAAGGAAACTTGCCCTGTAAATAATTAAATAGCTTGAGCGCTATAGTGAAAGAAAGTAATCAAAGAATTAAATCATTGGATACTGCCATAAGAAGGGATAAATAATATTTTAACCAAATCAATAGATTTGTGTGAGACACGGATTTTGATCTCACAATAATAATTATTATTAAACAAATATTTTTATCTTTTGCAATCATATATTTTTTAAATACCTATATAATTTTTTATTCATAATTTTTACCATTATATCAAGAAGTTTACAAAAAAATACCACATTCCACTGTTGGTAAACAAAGTAAAGATGTTGCTTTGTGAAAGTTAAAGAACATAATACACTCATCAAAGAAATCAACAAAGGTAGATCAAATGAAGAGATAGAAGTTGGAGACAATTTACCCACTCTGGTTTCAGACATAACAGTTGCACCAATTGATGAGATTGAAACTTCTTCACTAAAATATAAGAGACACAAAACAAACAAATGAGGAACTTGAAATTCTTCAAGAAGTATTTAATCATCCTACAGACTTACCAAAGGAAGTAGCAAACAGATTATTTGAAAATATATTTAAAATAAATAATTCATGGTCATCTACTAAAGTTAGGGAATATTGGTATAATAATGTGAAAAGAAAATAAAAATAAAATTACATTGAATTATTACTTTTAATTACTTCTTCAATGTATTCTATTGCGAGCGTGCAATCCGAGTTCCCTAATTAATAGGTTATTTATAGCTCAACACACAGCCTACTTGCTGACTTATGGTTGATTCTATTGTTTGACACACAGCCTACTTGCTGACTTACGGTCAAGTTTCCTTTAACTATATATATATGACACACAGCCTACTTGCTGACTTACGGTCAAAGATTAATAATAAAAATAACTTTTATCTTCCTGGATAAAAGGGTCCCTAGGTTCTATGTAA